ACCTTTATCACTCACAAATAATTTAAGCCATCTCAATCCTTTATTCTATTTCCTTTCTTACTTCCATTATTTACAGAACCTAATTTTTGATTTCAAGTTAACAGTTCTTCTTCAAAAGAGGAAAAAAATATCAAGTGTCAAAAACTCGTCTTAATTTTCCCGTCTCTTCTGTGAGAGAAATTTTTTTTTCTTCACGCATGGAAAGTGAAGAATTTTGACCGAATTCTGCAAACGAAACAATTGGTTACGGATTCCGAATGACAAATCTGAATGGTATTTTTAGAAAGAATTGCTCCCGAGGGAAAGTGAGAACTAATTTCCCCTCTGAGAAGAATAAATTCAAAACTCTGGGTTAGAATGTCAAGGACAAAATTCGTTGGTGGTATAACCGAGTGACCGAGAGAAAAAATAAAAGGAAAAGTACGTCACGGACGAAAAGTGTGCTAATCCAGATCGAATTTGGGTTTTTAAATACCTGCTAAAAAGATGCCTTTCTTTCTTCTTCTAATTTTCAAATATATCGCAAAATCAAGCGGAGAAAATTAATGAGGGCATGCAGTAATGGAAGAAGACCTTGGAAACTAAAATCACCCCATTTGCTACCCCGTTCCAAGCAAGTTTTACCTTTACCAACTTCCACGAAGCAGGAATGCCATAATCTAGATAACTGACCATAATGGAATACCTGCTTCGACTGGTCGTCGTCGTTGTTGTCGTCGTTGCACCTTTTTTTCTCCCCCAATTTTGTCCACAGCATCGTTTCGGGTACGTTCCTCACGCTTGCCAAGAACTTCCAAGTCTCTCTTTCTCTCTTTCTCTCTTTCTCCCTTTTTCTCTCTCTAAATCCAACACGTGTTTTTTTCAACATGACTCGAACCTACGAACGTGAAAAATTCAACCTTCTCTCATTTAAAGCGAATGAGACACCCGAAAAAAATTTTTTTTTCTCCTTTTCTGATTTTTTTTTTTTTTTTTGACGAATATCCAAGAGACGTACACGACGTACCTTGAAAAACACCAGGAGGGAACCTGTCACTCCCTTAACCTTGACATGGGTTGAGGAGATCGATGGAAACGGAGATTAATCATAGCCTACATTAATTACGCTTTCTCACAAGATGAGAAACATATCTTTAAAAAAAACCATGTTCCTCATTTTATTTTTTTTATCTTCGAAACGATCATTAAATCTGACAAAAAACGCTTTGTTCATCGCGGGTATATTGTACTATATCACGAATAATTCCCGGCTAATTTACATCATCGTGAAATCCAATCTTTTTTTCCTTTTAGAAACAACAATTACATGACATCGAACATTAATTGTGCGTGAAAAAATATCATTCCTACTGTCAATTTTTGATAAATGAAGAAATCTAGTTTTTCTGTATGAAATTTGTAGCCTTTGACGAATTAAGTAACTTTGAATTTTAATACTGAAACCTAGTCAGGAAGTTCAGCTTTGACTATTTTCGGAGTAAAAGTTGCTACTCGAAGTAAATTTTTGCTTCTTGGTATAAAATTCGTAAAAGGTCAACGTTTTTTGTAGTAAAATTCACCAACAAAAATGCACAGAAGTTCCAGTTTAGTTTTTACTTTCTAAAATATTTCTTTCCTTACTCAAAAGAGTAAAATTTTCCCAGTAAGTCAGAAAATGTTGTCGACATAAAAAAATCGGCTGTAAATTTTTAAAACACAGGTTATACTTAAAATAAAATTTTAGTTTATATTCTTGTGTATAGTGAGAATACACGGTAGCCCTTTTTCAAGATATCCTTGCAGAATCTTCTAAGCTAGTATCAAATGACCCAACATATATACACGCACCTGGTTATTCGAGACTATACACATGTACGTACAGTGGAAGGAGATTCGCAACTCGTTTCTCAAGACGCAGGGTAATTCGATGCTCGACTTTTCTCCCATTCCACACGCGCTTCTGTATTATACAGACGCTCTTCAATCATAGTTTTTCAGTTCCTTAGAATTTTTTTTACTGTTTTGAAAATTCAAGAAAATTTTCTTAAAGATTATAAAGAAGAAGAAGAAAAAAATAACAAAAGACTTAAAATGGTGATGGAATGGTCACAACTTATCAGATGATCTCTATAAGATATGAATTTTTAAATTCCATCTCACAGATAATTAATCATTCCTACAAGGTTTGACTTTTGATTCTTAACTATTTCTTTTACAAAATATTTTTCTGAGAATTTGTGAAAAGCTCTTGCGCGATATCAGTTGGGGAAAAAAAATTTTTTTCTTGCTTTGAATCAATTACTGGAATTCACTGAAGCAATTCTATAAGATTTCTGATGATATTCAGTTGTGTTTTATTAACTCAAAGAAAGATTATAATAACTTTTACTATATTCTGTGTGTTACATAAGGGAGGGAGGTGCAGAATTAGTCTCCCATTTTTTTCTAGTTTTATTTTCGAAATCATTTTTATTTTTGAAAATGGCAAACGCTTTGAACAGAATTTGTAAAAAGCCTTTCTTTACAAGTGAAGAAAGCCCTAAATTGAAAAAAAATTCTCCACTACACAGAGGATCCCAAGAAAAAATACCCTCAACTCAGGAAAAAATAGACTTCCCTACACAATAGAAATCAAGTTTATTTAATTGAATGTACATTTTACGTTTACAAATTCGATAGTTGGCAGTTCAATAAACCCGGTGAATCTATTGTAGAAAGACTAATTATAATTTTCAAAACGAGCCGACGAGAATTCTATTCATACCAACAACTGACTTTACGAGCAGCCTGTCAAATAACCAGATTACGAGAGTTCGCGCCTCACTATAGACTTGCTTTTATATATACATATATGTATATGCGTATGGTGTGTATATGCATATAGGGTGTCTCGCAGACTTTGCCTCAGGGCAGTGCGAAATAATTACTGGGGAGTGAAACAGAAGGGTATATACAGGCGCGCGCGTGGGTCGCGTGGAAATTTTCTGATTTGTTTTCATCCAGTTAAACACCATGTGCTTTATCAAAACCATATTTTTTTATATGTAATCAATAAGTGATATAAAAATGCATCAGACTCAATTATAGAATTCTTTAAATTATACATAATTGTCCTATAGTCAACACCTATTTTATCGCTTAGGGAAAATTTAATCTACTTCAGAAAAGAATTTGAAAAATCGTTGCGATTTTTTTTAAGACCCACATTAAAGTCACTCGAACCGTAACAGTCTGTTACGCTTTTACAATTGAAACCTTATATTCCCCTTCAGGTCAATCAAGTTCCAGATTGCATAAATTTCCCACCTCCTTAATGTGTTTGTGTGTGTACTTAATTACCAATCGTAAATCATAAAACATTCTTTAATCTTACAAAATAATTTCTTTTTTCAAAAATTAAAAAATTGTTTATTTGGAACATTCGTAACTTAAACTAATACGGAAATAAAAGTCAATTGCAAAGTTTTTTCTCACATATTAGGAAGCAAAATAAAAAGAAAAACCGAGAAGAAATCAAGATGCGGAAATTACGGATCAAAAGTCTATTGGTGACTATCCACCGTGAAGGAGATATATGTAGGAAATGTTCATAATTTAATTACTGGACGGATCTGCGAAAAGGAGCGTATATACAGCATCCTCGCGTATGGAGGCTTCTCTCATCCTCTATGTATATATATGCTTCCCAGAGCTGTCATAGACCGTTATCAAAAGCCTACGGTTACAACATGCGCCTAGAGAAACAAAAAACAAGGACGAAGTGTATAAAATATACGTGTGTGTGAGACGCGAGTACTTGACCTTTTAAGATTTAATCTCCGCGCAATATAACTAATCGCGATATACATATCCCGTAATTCGAGAAATCCAATATATACATAAACGAACTTGTATAACTCGGCAACACGCGACAGAACAAGTTAACTGTTAAATGCCACTCTGCTATTTCATTGCGGCAAATTAATAATTTTATATATATTACGCGAATAGCATTCCATTTGCCACGGGCTATTATTGCAGTAATTATCGTCATCATTTCGCGTTAGGATATTTTTAAGAATTTATCTTTTTTTTAACCCAATTTTTTTTAAGGATATCAAATTGAGACTAAAAACGTATCAAAATTGTTGCAACAATTTTGATACGTTTTTAGTCTCAATTTGATATCCTTAGAAAAATTTGGAATGTATCAGAAAAAAAACTCCCTTACGCGTAAAATACCTCATTTTTGAATAAAGTCAATTTAGCCCATTTATTTCCGAACGAAAGTACTATCGAGTATGGGGCAAAAAAAGAAGAGGCAATAATATATATATATAATTTTTTTATATGTGCAATCCATCGACTCACGCAGTAATGCCAGTAAATTGTGGGTTAGGACGTTTCATACTATCCGAAGTGGATGTTTATACGTCGCAAAAGCCTCCCCCTGAAGCATTCTTCTAAAATTGTCGATAACTTATCGACAATAGACGGTAATTCACGGTCATATGTGTATGTGTCTGTGTGTGGATGTTGTTTCGGTGCACAAACGATTTGTCGTACTTCCATTCCACCCCCACCCAATATCTAAAATATCGCCTTCTATATAATCAAAATCCAGTTGCTCTTTATACCTTCCGGCAAATGATCGCAAAATCTCGTCAAGGTTCCGAGCGGGCGCAAAAATAAAAAGAAATTCGCTCATACATCGCAAATTTCATGTATTAAATTTTTTTATAGTCCCTACACTGTTGTATTTAAATTCTCCATCCGTAATAAATTTTAAGTATTGATCAAACATTTCCAAAATTAAAAATTTTACATATTAATCAAATAAATTTTTCACAGGATCAAAATTTCTATTATACAAAAAAGTACTTCTCATTATGTTGAGAAATCCATTGTCAGATTACTATTCTTTCGCATAATATGAAAAATTATACGGATTTTTCTCTAAAAAATGCTAAATGTTGTCATACAAAATGGTGAAAAAATTGTGGACGACTTTCTTTTTAAAAGAAAAAGTAATGTGTACTCACTCGAATGGACGATTTACGTTTACAACTCGGCTGGTGAATGGACTACGATTCAGGGATTTGCGATTCAGTGAATGGAACTCGAGCGTAAACTCCCGATAGGATCCCGCGTGAATGGCACCGCACCCAAATGCAGGTCCACTTCCGAGAGGTGTGTGCGCTCGGTAAACGTAGACCTTCTTCATTGTGTCCTCACCTGCAAAGATCAAATCGTTATATGTATTTACTTTTATAAGAACATCCCCCAAAAATCTAACATCTTTTTTCCTCCCAAAAAAAAGAAAAAAAGATTTCTTAGACCTTCTTGATCCTTCAACAACTGTTGACTTTCAACTACCGCAAAAGCCTCTTTGTCAATGCTTTTTATTTACTCCCAAAATCCTAACATTTGGTTTTCCTATTTTCTTTTCCACTCAATAATATGTCCGATTGTTGAAACGAGCAAAGAAAATATTTGTTGAGTCTTTGCCGATCAAACTTGACATTTTAATTTTTCCACTAAAATTTCTTAATTTTACGTGCCTAAAGTCAAATAACACTTTAATTTCCAAACCTCTGTTTATAAATAATATGGTCAATTTCCACCGTTTTAAAAATTCTCTAAATCTCAGTGGGGAAATAAACTTGAAATTTAAAAAAAAATGATTTTCCTCAGTTTTTAGATAAATAAATGAAATATTACGCCAAGGGTGGAGATGATAAATTCTAGCAGGAAGAAAAAAAGTCGGATCATCCACTCCATCACACACGTGTGCGCAGTTTATGAGAATCTCTATTTTCTCCATAAAATGACAGTAATGATAAAAGATCAGTGCGGGTGTTGGCAGTCGATCGAATTGATCGAACCAAAAGCAATGAATCTTGAAAATATTCTTTTTTTTCCCTTCAAAAAAAAAAAAGCAAAGCTTTGATATGGCTCTTTAAGAAATGTGCCTCGTAATGGCCCAAAGAAGGTCCAGAATGACCAGGACGAAAAGTATCGTTCAGGGTGGGAAAGAAAGGCAGATGCAATATTCTGGTCAGAAAAAAGAAGCAGCTGCATCATCGACCCTCATAATAAACACAAGTAAAGTAAAATCACCAAACACACATGTGTTCTCTACTTCTATATCTATATATGTGAAAAATTTCAGAATTCCTCAAGATTTCTTCGTCTCATTTATTAAACCCCCAAGAAATGTTTTGTTTTATCATGTTGCGTCGATCTCATCCGCAAGCACTCCACTTTCACACCGCGTGTTTTGTACATACACATACATATAAACATGAAACTGGTTTTCTCAACCTCTATCCTAGACACAAGAAAATCCATTAATCTCGCGCGAGAAAACGTTTTGTAGATTCCGCGGATTCGTATATAGTGTATATATGGCCTCCCATGACTCGCGGCTAATATAATAAGATGTAATTACCCGACCGTAGTATATAATATCCCGCTGTGGTGGCGACGATAATCGTAACAAATTATCTGTTAAGTAGATTCCGAATAAATTAATTAATACTATCTCTCGATCGTCCCTAATTACAATTTTTTTTCCCTTCCTCGATCAACTTTTCCCTTCTCTCTATAATCTGCAGAGTCAGTTTCGAAATTAATGCACGAACTAGAAAAATACTAGTTGGTTTCAGGTCAAATTTATTATAAACTTTTAGGTTCAAATTGATCATTATCATTTAATTAGTCTCGTGAGTGATTAATTTTATATACAATATTTTCACCGCAACTTCATCCCCTTTATGGGTAATTTACTGTTAATTAACCCCTAATGATCGTTATCCAAGTGCAGGAAGGGGAAAAACATTGAGATGGGTTTGTCTGTAGCAGACAAAAGTTTAAGTAAATAGAATTAATTTAATTATAACTTTATGTTTATCCTAAATTTTTATAAAGAAAAGTTATCCATTAATTTCGTTATAATTTAGCGGTTGTCACCATTTTAGAATTTTACTTAGTTCAAAATTGGTTTACTTTTAGTTTCTAATACCTGAGAAGACTATGGTTGAACCGATTTTTATCTTCATGATTGGCTGAAGTTAACATGACGTCATTGATTTTTTCCAGAAAATGATTTTTTTTTAATAAATCGACAACGATTTCTTATAAATATTAAGATCGTGAAGGAATATATAATATAATGCCCGCGAGATACAATAAGAGGAGAGTTAAAAAATATTTTTTGTGGAAGGGGCAAAAAAAGAGTATCGTAGGTTCGATCTTTGGACCTTGAGGTCCAGTGGAAGACTTTCGATGTATATATGGGGGAGGTAATCGATTACCACGGAGCCGTTTCCTTCTCTTTTACCTTTGGAGAGGAGCAAACGCCAAAATTTATACCTGGCGGCAGTGTCGGAGATGCACCCTCGCCTCGTTTTCAAACGGGAGGTTGGGCGCCGCGCACTGTGAAACGAAAAATATATGGTTCCCAAAAGAACAGTCGTATAGGTTATGCCCTGTAAGGTATATATAAGGAGAGAGATAGAGAGCGATAGAATGAGAGAGAAATACAAACGAGAGAAGGAAATACAGAAAGATAGAAATACAGAAGAGGGAGAGAAAGAGAGAGAGATTGAATAAAAAAAGGGGAAAAAGAATTGGAAGAAAACGAAACCGACCATATAGGATGCACACGATTTCCAAAGAGAGAATGGATTCTTTGAATTTTCGTGCCCTGAAAGATTAATGCTGCGGCTTTCACGGGATCTATATAACTTGCTCTCGAGTATTGTCGAAGAACTCGAGAAACTCTTAATGACGAATATCTTCAAAGGCCGATCTTCCCCCTCCCCCTCCTTTTTCCCTCCCGCGTGCGCCCGATCAGACGACGACCCCCTGAAGTTATAATACCCGAAAACTGCACGTTAGATTTTTTAAAACTCCTTGTTCGGGTGGTCCAGCTGCCTCTCTTCGAGAAGGAGAGATGGAGACCTACATATTTTCGATTGTGATTCTTTATCGATGACAAATGGAGGCCCGCCGATCGCAATATTATACTCCCCATGAGAGAAAGATACCCGAATTAATCCAATTTGTTTTCATCATTCCGAAAATGGGACATATTTCTATTCTTTAAAATCAGATCTATCAAAGAGTCTGTATTTTTGTGGAGGAAAGTCCTCCCGGATGTGTAAAGAGCTTTCTCTAAAAATTAAGAATTTACTGTTGGTTAGCTCTTGGGATTTTTTTATCAACAACATTGGGTTCAGACTGTTAGTGTCAAGTACTGACTACTTTGCCTGTTAGAAAATCTTGAAATTTTCTATAAATAATTGTTACGTTCAGTTTAAACAAGCCTTTCGGGGATATTACCACCAAAAACATTTCACTTTTTAATAAAACTGTAAACATAAATTTAATAATTAAAGTAAAATCGATAAATCATTGAATTTTGAATTCTTCAAAATATACGATAGTGAAAATCATTTGTCATTTGCTTAGAGTAAATATGTGCGTAACGTAACAATAATATACATCATAGATTTATAAATCCATTTATGTAGAACCTATTGCAAAGTTTCTATATCCCTATACTGCATTGTGGTTAGATTTAGCCATGTAAATAGTAAATAGAGTAGATTAATCGGATTAGTAAATGCCATTCGTGCCGTTAACTCAGCCGCAATATACGAATAGCTCCATAATTGCAATGTCGTATCAGGTTTTGTATATCGACTACCGATCCTCGGAATATTGAGTAAAAATTATCAAAAAGAAAAAAAAATTCAAATAACATTTCGTTTTCAAATATTTTATTCCACCTTCAACTTGATTTTAACTGCCGGGTAAAGCAATATTTTATATATATGTATATACATATATAGAAGTTTCGTTGGCAGGTAAAAGTTGAACCCGCCCCTATAGAGTGAGCCAGAAGAAGATTTGTGAGAAGGCCTATATTATAATACGGCAGTGATCAGAATATTCCAAGCAAGATAATCACACTCGAAGGATTGACTGACCCGCCTCTGAAAAGGTCCCTAAAAAACGAAGAAATAATCGAAAACGTTCAAAAAAAATATACTAACCGCTCTTGCGTGTGGAATTCATCCAACTAATTCTTTTTTTTTATTGACTATATAGAAGTCAAGAAAATTCAGTTGTCAAATAAAAAACGTTTTTTACGGAACATTAGTTACATGTTGTCGTTTAGAATTTTTTCTTTCTAATACAATGTTTTCACAGGGAAAAATATTTCTATAGATTTTAAAATCGGAGAATTTTCCTTGAATGTACATTTATATGTACAACAAAAACGAATCCTTGAAGTGGTTTCTTGTTTACAGAAGAATTCAACACACTACACATTTTTTGAAGAGAGAGAGAGAGAGAGAAAAAAACGGCTCGAGATATTTTTTGGTTTATACATATAGAGAAAGGACATCCTTGCGGGATGAAAGTCGGGTCAGTATTACAGGGTCGAAGGGCCCTTCCCCTAATTTTATTTCAGGTATATGCGCGCATTTTTAAGTCCTTGAAATACGTTTTTAACAAAAGGATCCGCGCCGTTGGACCCATTTATCCTACTTTTACGAATGGGAACTCTCTTATAAAAACCTCTCTATAATACAGAATAACCTTGCTTCATGGTCCTGTTCGCTTTTGAGGATTATGAATCGTTTTGTTGAAAAGTTCACTCTTCATCACTCACTCTCTCATTTATTGGTAGAATGAGCACTTATATCTTTTAACTTGCTTCAGTAAATAGATCTCGAAAATTTCTAAAGTGTTCCTCCCTGTTTTTGAGGTTTTTCTCCCTCCACTCCTGGCAACTTGATTTTCGTCGCCACGTGCGAAAAACTGGTAATTCTCCTTCTCTCTCTTTCTCCAACTCTACTCTCTTTTTTTTTCTTTTAGAGAGATAGAGAGAGGTAAAGTACCTTCCAAACTACGCGAGCTTTTCTGTTTATTTGTACAGCTTAGTCGTTCGAAAAACAATGGGGAAAAGTCAATCTTTCTCGTTTCTAAAGGGAGTGAGGGAGGGAAAGAGTCGTGTCAACAATAATATTTTTACCTGAGTCCATCAGTTTTCGTTCCCTCGAAAAAATGAAAAAATTGCAAAATGATATATTTCCCTCCTCGTTTTGCGAATATATGGTATAGAAACCTGAGGCAAAATAGAGTTGGGGGAAACAAACAGAGATTTTTTAATCCGTAATAAATTTTTAAAACGCTTGATTAGTTTAGTAATTTTTTATCTA